AATGAAAGAAAGAAAGAAAGAAAGAAAGAAAGAAAGGAAAGAAAGAAAGAAAGAAAGAAAGAAAGAAAGAAAGAAAGAAAGAAAGAAAGAAAGAGAAAGAAAAAAAAGAAAGTCATTTCGTTTTGGTGGGTCTAGATGAGGTTGCCCTGCATCTGCCGCCTTCCACACCCCTGTAACAACCTTCATCCTACCCTGCATCCATTTCCAGTTTCTAGCTCTGAGCCTACAAGCCAAAGGCCGGAGACTTGCAATTTTCCAAGGTCACAGGGCCATAGCCCTCCGCAAACACCCTCTGTCTTCCTTGGAGGCAGCCAGTGCGCATTTCCCAGCTGCAGGGAGGCGCATGGGGTAGCCGACACTACAGCGCTGGTGTTGAGGCCTGCACTTGTGCCCCAGCTCCAGAGGACTTGGTGTGCAGGGAAGGCGCAGGGGGGGCTGCCCAGCGGCAGGGAATGGAGCCAAAACTAAAGAACACCACTCCTAACTTCTCCAGTCTGCTCACCCAGAACCACGTATGTGTATGAGTTTTGTTTTTAAAAAAATATGATGAATGCTTAAAATTCTTTTAGGGCCTGGCCTGGTGGGATTTACCTGTAATCTCAGCACTCAGGAGGCTGAGATAGGAGGATTGCCCCAAGTTCGAGGTCAGCCTGGGCTACATGATGAATTCAAGGCCAGCCTCAACTACATAGTGAGAACTTGTCCCCCAAAAATTTTTTTAAACTTATGGCCGTAAAAGACATATTGCTATGGATCCCCTCAAACTTCTCCCTTTTGCTTCAAACACACTTATCCTGGTTTGCTGGTTTCGGGAAAAGAAAAGAGAAGAGAAAAAAATGTGAGTTTGTGTCCTGAAGCTTCAGTTTTTTTCTTAAAAGTATAGCTTTTAAAAATCTCAATTTCCCTGTTTCCTTTCTACCTACCTTTATTTCTCCTATCCTCCCTCATCTCTGCGCACCCACCCCCACAACCCCCAGACCTCAGTCCCTTATTCTGAAGGGGTACAGAAGGCCTGACGGTCCATCCTCAAGTGACTGCTTCAGGCTGAGGAGGGGCCCCGATCCTGCCTAGCCAAGGACAGAAAGTCTCATCCTGACTGATCTGAAAGGAGACAGGCACACCGGCTTCCATCTTTTGAAGAATCATCATCTTTTGACAGCCTGAAAGCGGGCAAGGACATTAGCCCGCTACAACATGTACCAGAAAAGCATTGCAGTGTACAATATCGTAGCTGGAAAAATGAGAATTTTCCTCCAGGTTGTTTCAGAGAACCAGGATACTAGCTGGTCATGAAAGCTTCTCATTTATGAACATACAGGAAGTCATTACTTTTGGCGGTATGGGCAGGCCCCTTAGCTCTTTTAGATTTTCCTCTACTAGTTGTATCATCTGCCAGGTGGGTCACGTTCTTTGCTTGATCACACAGAGTTCTTTGGAATCACGGGAACATTTCCTTCTTTAGTGACCTTCCTTTTAGCACACTGTACCTGGTTGGCTGCTGTCCTCCACGGTCCATCAATCTCCCTGCTCAGGAGATAACATGATTCACCAGAGTTGTAGGATTCTTTAGAGAGGTCGCCTCATGTCCTGGGTCCCTGAAGACCTTGAAGGACCAGGGTCAAAATATTGGCTGTCCTCATAGCCCAGTTACCTTTTTAACTTTCATCTGCAAGCCTTAATTGTTGAGCACCCAGAAGGTCAGTAGGAGCAGTAAATTTAACTATTATAATCTCATCTGGATATCAAGCGCTTTGAAATATAAAGTATAGTCAGAGAACTGCTTTTTTTTTTTTACCCATCAGGGCTGTCATAGAAGCCAAATCCCTATAGAATGTTAACAAATAAGCGTTATAAAATTTTACTAGAGTGACACACACCTGTAACCCCCAGAACTTGGGAGGCTGAGGCAAAACTGTCAAGAGTTTGAGGCCATCTCGGGCTATATAAGTGAGTTTAAGGCCAGCCTGCACTACATAGCAAGACCCTGTCTCAAAAACAAAACCAAAAATGTCTTACTAGGAGAATTTAAAATCAAGAGCAAACATAGCATTTTAGCATAACAATTGTGTTGGCATTATTATATTAGAAGCATTATCTTTTTCTTTCTTTTTTTTTTTTTTTTTCTGTCTTTTTGAGACAAGGTCTTGCTGTGCAGTTCAGGCTGGCCTTGAGCTCACTTTGTAGCCTAGGTTGGTCTCAAACTCACAACGATCCTCCTGCCTCAGCCTCCCAAGTGCTGGGATTACAAGCATGCACCACCATACCTGGCTAGAACATTATCTTTAAAAATACATTTAAATTCCCATTTTAGTATAAAAGACCTTTTTAGTCAGTCACCTTCATGCAATTACAAAGTAATAAATGACATAAGGAAACTTTTACCTAAATTTGTTACCTTTTAATAGAGTGCTATTAAGCAGAATGAACTTGTTTATAGATGCACTTTACAGATTATTAATGCCTAATCCCTGCTCATTATAATGACACTGTCACAGCTGTATAAGGTGTAGGCACATCTAACTATCATGATACAATCATATAACAATCACATAAACATAAACCTGAAAAAGTCCGTCACCATGAGCAACTTTAGTCTGGAGATCATCAGTATGATAAGATGTCTTTCTCGCTGGGGATATAGCTCAGCTGCACAGCCCCTGCCTGACAAGCATGAGTTCAATTCCTGGTATCAAAAAAAAAAAAAAAAAAAGATGTCTGTCTCAAATCATGCACCTTAAAAAACTTATACACTTGGGAAAACACACATGTGTTTAATACACCATAAGGTTAGCAATGACTAGAATTAGGGCTATAAAGAAATCTTTATATATATTTACTTAAGTTTTTACTCTTACAGTAAAATTTAGAGTCATTTAACATGTTTAAGGTTAAGGTATAACTATATTGGCAAGAATTAAAGTCTCACATTTATCTAAGATATGTTATAAACTAAGATAGTAGTAGTTTATTTAATCAACCATAAACTGATTATTATAAACATTTTACAAGCAACACTTAAATCATAATCAAAACCCTAACAATGGAAAACACAAGAAACTATCTTAGTAAAATATAGGATCTTTGCTTTTTAATCTAGTTTTGTAAATTTAACCAACATCATCTTAATATCTTAAGAAAAACCTTATTGCTTTAGACATAGCAAGCTTAACCTTTTAATTATAGCCAATTAAATTTTTTTTAATTTTTAAAATTAATTTTATTGGTACTTTTTAAAAATTTTAATTTATTTTATTTTATTTCAATTTTGGTACTGGGAATTGAACTCAGGACCTTGCGCTTGCCAGGGAGGCACTGTGCCGCTGAGCTATATCCCAGTCCCTTAAAAGTACCTTAACAGTTATATTACTCATGAGAACTAAATCTCAGTATAGTTAATGCTTTTTAATCTACACGTGTATTACCTTCAACCAAGGAAAAATTCTTAAATTATTGTAGATAAACAATAGATATGGCATCTATAAAGCCAAATTTTATTTTCTCTCCATCAGCTAACACCCTAAGCCAGGCATAGTGGCACACTCCCATAATCCCAGCACTCAGGAGGCTGAGGCAGGAGGATCCTTGCAAGTTCAAGACCAGCCTGAACTGCAGAGCGAGAACCTGTCTCAAAAAGAGAAAAAAAAATTTAAAAAAAGCTAACAACCTGGACAGAAGTATGTTACCAACCTAAAAGATATCTTTATTATTACCTTGATAACTCACTGTTAACCCTGGAAGCAAAGCCATTTGGTCCATCTCATGAATGTCTACTTATCTATATCAACCAAAATAGAACCTATACCTGAAAACTGACACAGAAACATAAACAGCAACTCAATCATATATATGCTATCAATCTATAGCCTTTATCTGTAATCTACTGAGCACCTTTCCTGTTTGTTAACACTACAGATTATAACCAGTACGAGTCCAAATGGTGAGAGAAGGGTTTTGAGGTTTTGTCTTTTTACTAGTTCACCTTTACAAAAAAAAAAAAAAAAATCAGCCCTTTAAAATATTTTCCCTTGCTGGGCGTGGTGGTATACACTTGTAATCCCAGTACTCAGGAGGCTGAGGCAGGAGGATTGCCATTAGTTCAAGGGTAGTCTGGGCTACATAGTGAGTTCAAGGCCAGCTTGAACTGCACAGCAAGACCCTGTCTCAAAAAAAATCTTTAATCTTAAATTGGTCCCAAGTTCATAAAATATAACTTAAAGGTAATGTTCCAGGGATAGACGTTGAGCTTCCCATAATCATATAAGATTTCCTACATGGCTTTAAGATCTCCCATGTATGCCAGGCGTAGTTGATGCACACCTGTAATCCTAGCACTCGGGAGGCTGAGGCAGGAGAATCGTTGTGAATTTGAAACCAGCCTGGGCTACAAAGTGAGCTCAAGACCAGTCTGAACTGCATAGTGAGACCCTGTCTCAAAGAGACCAAAACAAACAAACAAAACCAAAAATCTCCCTTTTGTACTTTTGGAAAGAGATAAAGAAAATTAAAAAAAGAGAAAAGAAAAGATGGCTACCAGGGTCATATCACGTGTGTTCCCCAAATTGGCGTCAGTCCACATACATAGCCCGCCCCAAACCAGGGTCGCATCTCAGGTGCACCCCAAACTGGGGTCATCTGCATGTGCAAACTGCCCTCCTTTCCCAGAGGCAGAACTACCCAAGGGAGCTGCCCTGCTCCGTCAGAACTGCCCAGGGCACCCCTTCTGCTCTATTTTCCCTCACGTCCAGAATAAGCGTCTTTGTTCCTGGAACCCGGCTATACCAACAGCAGACCAGGGAAGAAAGAAAAGAAGTTGTACACAACAGCTGGGCCTTACTCAAAAATCTGCCGCAAAGATCTTTCTATCTGGGGGCGTGTAACATACAAGGAACTCACAGAGCGTCTTAGAAGTCTGGAGAGTTTACCTAACTACATATTACACATCAAGGAAAGCAGAGGCCGTGTGTCTCCCTTCCCCCTACCTCTCCCTGGTAACTAATACCAGAAAAAAAGTTAAAGAGCTTGAGTTTTCTGACAGATGGAATCCTGAGTGAGAGAAAGAAGGAAAAAAGTAAACTATTAGGCTCCTCCTCAGTCTGAATCTATAGACATCACCAGATTCCGCGGGTAGCAGGTCAGCTATCACCTGATTGACCACTGCATTCATAGGTGAAAGAGGACCCTTTGCAAGTAAAAAAGGAAAGAGCAAACACATTTGTAGGTGAAAGGGAGTTGCTCAGGTCTGCTATGTTTTGGGAGATGAAAAGAGAAGGGAAAAAACAAAATAAAACAAAACCGGGCTTGTGTCCTGAAACTACAGTTTTTTCTTAAAAGTACAACTTTTAAAATCTTAATTTCCTTGTCTCTTTTCTACCTAGTTTTATTTCTTCTATCCTACCTCAAACTGATTCAGAATGTTTCCCTTTAATGCTCATTTGACTTGGGGGAAGAAAGAACCAGAGGTTGCATGGTGCTCGAGCCAGTGAATAAGGTAGGTGAGGAAACAGTTGTGCTGTTATGAGCCCGCCTTCCATTGTAGGGCACTTGGGTGGCAGCATGCCCCATCTTTTTGATCACACCTCGTAAAGACACTCATGAAGGAGGACTTCCAGAACTGCTTCAGAAAGGCGGTGAGACAGGAAGTTAGGGTGTGGCTAAACTGACCGGGAAAAGAGATGTGACAAGATCCTGAACTCATGCACAGAACAGTTCCCAAAGTTCTCGCGAGAACTCAAGCAGGTTTTCCACAGGATGGCCTAGACCTGACCTCAGCCTGAGGACAGTGACACAAAAGGACAGTCCACACTGAATTTTGTCTTGCGTGGTGGCCACTCTCACACTGCAGGGTGCGCTTCTTTTCTTCCTTTTACTAGATCCAAACTCATTCTGCAGAGCCTGTTTCTTTTCCTACCTTTAACAAAACTTTGCTGCCCTTCGTATTTCTTTTGAGCCATCCTTTGTTCAGGACTGAAGGAACCTAGAAACCACCTCTAGAAGGAGAGGTGCACCCCAATGCAAGCACCCCAATACCCGGAAACAGCAAGAACGATGGGAGGAGTGTGTTCTAAGTGCGAGGGAGTCTTTTGAGGGGGATTCACAGTAATGTGTCTTTCACTGTAATACATTTTTGAAAATTCAAGCATTCACCATATTTTGACCACAGATTAAATGCATGAACATTCCTGGCCCCTGGCCCCTTAAATGGGGCTCCCTCGGCTTGATGAAGTTCACAAACCATGGCTCTGGGCAGCCCAGAAAGGGGTGGGGGAAATCAAGGCTCCTTCAGGAGCCAGCCCACAGAGAGGACTGGGTACACTTGTCCAGCCTGGGTGTCCCTGCTCTAGGACTCTCCCTAGGTTAGACTCCGGCAGCTACCAGGAGCTGTAGACCCCAAGGCACCCAGTTCAGGCTGGGCGTTGGGTTACTGTCTGGAGACTCTTAAAAAGAGGAAGGAGGAAGGCCAGGCATAGTGGCACATGCCTATAATCCCAACACTTGGGAGGCTGAGGCAAGGAGGATCACTGTGAGTTTGAGGCCCTCTTGGGCTACAAAGTCAGTTTAAGGCCAGCCTGAACTGCATAGTGAGACCCTGTCTCAAAAAGGAAAAAAAAAAAAAGAGGAGGGAGGACGACCTCAACAAAGAGACAGTCTCTTTAATGAGGCTGTGATGGGCCACGCTGGTGGCAGCAGCTCAGGGCTGAGTTTATAGGGCTCCTCCTCCTCCTCCTTTCTAAGTAGCACACTAATCCCTCTTGAAAAACCTCTTGACAAACGCGTTCTGGGGAGTGGGACTGGGGTTGTATTTTTTTCTTTCCTGAACTACAGCATTAGCTTTTTCTCTTGGCAAGCTTGGCAGAACCAAACAATGAAAATAATCCTGTCATTGTCCCTGCAGATCCACAGGAGGGGCTGGATCAGGTTCCTTTCCTGTGGCACACTCTCCCCATCACCCCAGAAGCACAGGGCTTCTGTTAAGTAAAAAGGAGGAAAAGCAACCGAGGTACGAGCTAAACAGGACAGACCTGAGAGGAACTGCTGTGGCACTAGAGATCAGCACTAGAGACCAAACCGGCTGCTCTGGTACAGGCTACGGGATAGTTTGTAGGGTCGTGGGGAAGGGCGAGTTCAGTGAGGAAGAGTAGTGACTACCTGCCAGGAACAAGGCTTGAGAGAGCACAAGTGGTCATGGCTACCCAAGGACAGGGCTTGGAAAAGCACAGGGAGTGGTGGCTACTGTTAGTAGCACGGCTCTTAGAAGTCCCAGGCGCAGCTGTGGGGGCGGGGGGCGGGTTGGAGGGGTCTGGTTAGGATGGAGGCAGCCCGATTCCTTCAGTTTCTTGTAGGCCTTGAAAGCTGCTTCTGGAGGTGAAAGGTCTCTCTGAGCCCAAATGTCAGCAAGGTCCCTTCCCCTCCCACGCTCTGAAGGCCGCTTGTGAAGTCTCTCGAAAAATACTTCTGAAAACCAAAACTAGAGATAGCTAGTGGGGTCACGCTGTTGCCGTTTGATAGCAAGCCAGGCCTAGGCCTAGCTGGGCGCCCTGTCTCCCGCTTCGCTCTTGCGTCCTCGTCTCTCCCCCTTGCTTTAGGAACAGTTAGCCTGCTCTCCTCTCACTCACAGACTCCGAGAACTCGTCTTTAGGATCAGAGAAAATAAAAATAGCTCGATAGATATTTTCTCCTTTATTT